TGTTAAATAAGGGTGGTAAGATGGTCTAGGTGGTTGAACTGATATTTAATAAAGACCAGAAACCTTTTGAGATGCTTAACATTTTTCGTAATGCAAAACGCAATGGGTGGGGTAATAGAAATCCCCGCAAAGGCAATAATTAGCCTAAATACATGTAGTGAACAATGCAAAAAATAGAAAACAACTATATTTACCAAATTAAGATTGTCCCAGGGAATTCAGTACATGTAAATGGCTAGAAACAACGAAATTTTTCTTCAAAAAACAAGACCCATGCTCTTTTACTAAAAAACTTTTACGACAACAAAAAATATCGCTGTCATCTGTTTTAACAACTCTATATACGTAGGTGGCACCTACAATTACATAAATTTGCTAACAAAATGATAGTTTTTTCATTTAAATAAGTGAATGCAGTTTGTCTGGACTTTTATTGCAATTGCTTTATTATTCTATAGAATGGATAAATAAAACAAAATAGGTTATTGAATCAAAAAAAAAAAATCTTTAAAATTATGATTTAAAAATATGTTTGACAGTCAAAACCTATTAAAAACGCACATTTTAACCAATTTAATCGATTTAATGTCAGCATGTATATACTTTGAGCTATCGGTTTTCATTGCCATAATGATAAGTAAGTGTATAATGTACTGTTAATTTTATATCTAAAATTTGACTGAATTTAGGTAGACTTTTACACGATATATTTGAATGAACTTAGTCAACAACTTCAAGCATTTGTTTCCATATTTCATAGCGTAAATCAGTTACTATTGTGTCCGAGGTCCGTTTTCAAAGATTAACGGAAAAAGGCCGAAAAGTTGCGATTGTATGTTCCGTAACTTAAACATAAGTATCCAGAGTATATGACAATACCAATGCATTTTGCATTATTTATATGATAAAAAAAACTTACGCTTAGCCTTTTATTCTAACATTTTCTTTTTCATCCGGTGTTCTGCTGGTCATGACAGGGTGAGTAACTCCAAAATGTCTGTCTTTATCGTAAACACGCAGTTATTGTTATAACGTCAAACAACAATAATTATTAAATCAATGTACATCTTCTGCACATTTCAGTGCTAGCAGAGTATGACGAGTTTCATTGAATCAAGCAATCCTTTATTTTTGCCGGGCTATGTGACCTTTATTCAGGGTAGCGTCTCTAACATGAAACATGGAGTTCTTCAATCTCCGTAACAGTTATCACTAGTTTTGTACGTAACAGTAATCACGAGTATTTTCCGTAACAGTTATCACGAATAGACATGACTCATTGAAATATGTTCTTGTTATATTCCCTCCGCCTGAGTAGGCGAGTTTGTTAAGGTCACTTTGGACCACTTGCCCCTCATCGCTGTAGGTTCGAATCCCGACAAGGGCTTTGATTTATCTTGTAGTGAAGCTTACCAGCAAGCTTTTACAGGACAGTGGTTCTACTCAGGTGACCATTATTGCCTCCAATAATGCACAAAGGGACATCATCTGAGGTCTACCTCCTACCAATAAAAGCGGTAAAGTCGCAATACATTAATAATTATGATTATAATAGAAAAAGTTATTACGCCTGCTTTAAAGCCTTTCGCTTTGATCATATTTGTGTTTTTACTTTTCCAGAAATTAATGGTCCTCCTTAATTGTGGGTATGTAAACCTTTTTCATATTCCCAAATGAGACATTGACATTTCAATATAGATTTAAATACAATCAGGAACGCCTTTGACATTTCAAATATATGATATCAAGATTTACTTAGCGTAGGTTGATGCAGTATTTTTATAGGAAGCAAAAAGAAGAAAACAGACATTACACTATACAAACTGTTTATTCGAATGATGATATATCAACATGATGACATTAATATAAAATCATTTGTACCACATTTGTTAGACACATCTGTTAGGAAAAGAATTAGAAATATAAAATAGAAATTACTTGAATAAAAAACCTGAGAGCAAACCAAGATGTAGGAGTGCGGATATGACGACGCTGACAAAATGGATTTTAGAGAAATTATGAACTTTTCCAGCTCTCGATCTATTCACTTTCCTGCATTACTGATTAAAATATTTTGCATGTATATACACCCCTACATCTAAACAGTGGCTCTTTCACATCTTGGTGATCTTTTTAAAAAAGGGCCCTCGACACTTTCGTTCTAGAGCCCTCGGTGGAATATCAGGTAAAAGTGTCTTACAATGTCATTTTGGGATATTTCGTACTAAAATAATGATTCAACGTGGCAAAGCATTTGCCGATTACAAAAAAAAACAAGCAGATTTTAAAAAAAAACGGATATTTATTTAAGATTTTAACTTTGTTTGGTAACGGGCTTTACAACGGAAGTGTCGAGGTCTCTCTTTTAAACAGATCACTAAAATGTGAAAGAGCCACTGTTTAGTAGGGGTGTATGTAATATACATAAAATATGTTATAAACCGAGAATGACTAACGAAATTGTCAATTCAGTATAGGAGTTTTCAATAATATGTTGTGTAGGCGTGTGTGAGGCGGTGCTACCCACATACCATATAGATAATATCAAAATGTTGTTTTTAACAAATTTATGTTGTAGTATTATATGATGTTTGCTTAACAACAGAACACTTACGAAAAAAAAATCTGAAATAAATGCATGGGTGTTTGACATTATTTGTTTAAATGATAGAGTTTTACATCAACATCCAATGGAAAATGTCGTGGTCATAGTTACTTGCCTCTCACCGTTGCGTTATTAAGGGACCTTGAAACTTTAGAGTGAGAAACTTATTTAGTTTGAGAACGAACGGTTGGTGTTTTGTATTTGGGTTGCCATTTAGGTCAAACATGAAGCACAGATGGTCTTCAACAGCAAGACGTTACGTGATGTATGACACAAACACCAAGTTTGTTTATTTACAACAAGCTTTAGATAAAGGCAACTAATATACAGCGACTTAATATCAAATGAAAAATAAAAAAGATTAACAAGTGCTACTTCTGAAAACTTTATTAGAAAAAGTGCATAAAATTGAAAATCGTAAATTGTAAAATATCAAGAAACAATACAACGTTCATAATAATTATGGTAAAAATCATCATTATAATATACACAATAACATTTTGTGACGCATATATGTGACAATTGTTAAAACATATCAATTTAAAAACAGAAAATATCTTCATCTTCTCTCATTTTCTTTACAAAAATGCATGCTTTTCGACCATGATTGTAATAATGTAAATCTGAATATTGCTAAAATTTCTGTATACATGTAATTACGTAATATGTTTTATCAATAATCATAGTAATGTGGATAATAAAATTAAAATCAGTTTACCCGAACATTCAACCAAAATCAGTTGTTATCAAATGTTACTGTAATCATTCTTCTATTTTTCTGTTTTAAAAACACATTAAGCCTTTAAAAAAAATGAAAATATTTTTATTTTTAACACTTATATTTTGATATCCTGTAAAAGTTTCCAAAATGTTTCTTAATGGCCAAAAACCTAAGCCACAAATTGCTTCATTTGCAATTTGGTAATTATTAAAGTTAACAGTATGCTCTGTCTACAGAAAAAAGCAACAAATAACATGTATTTTATTTCTACGGCTTAATGTGCCTTTAATTATAGTTACATTGGTGCTTTGTATTTATTTATATCTTCTATTCAATAATTTAACAAAATTGGGAAAAAATATTGTAAAAAACACTTTCAACCTTGAGATGATGAAAATGTGAAAAAAACAGTTATAAATTGCGCTAACATACGTTATCTCTCGATACTATTGAAGCACTTTAACGGCCCATGCATAGAATAAAATTTGATAAATTTACATTGCTAAATGTATACAAATTCGCTCTTAAACAAAGTTATAAAGTTAGGATAATATATAAAAAAGCATGGTAATGATGTTTTCAATCTACCTCATTATTTTTTAATCAAAATTAATTTAAAATCATCTGATTTTATCGGATTACATGGGTAATTATGCTACCTTAATATAAATACAGTCAGGTATCGTTATCTCGATATCGCTTTTCTCAATTTTCGTTATCTCGATCCAATTGTGAAAGTCCGTATTACATTCTTTCTTTATCTATATAGAATATATTTATTTATCTCAATTTTCTTATCTGGATTTTTTTTCAGTATCTCGAACTGAAGTTTTTGCTTCTGTTAATGAGGTAAGACACATAGTCAAAAATGTCGAGGCAGACAACCACATATAAATTACAACAATGATAAGACATTTTAAGGTGTAGCCAATTTTGGTCATATGTCAGACTTACAAAACATACCTGTATTTTCTTTATATCAACTTAACCCGTCTTTGTAAATAAATGTTATTTTCTTTAGGGTTAACAACATGTAGTGAATTTGAGCAAAAACCTTTGAACACTGAATACTAAATGCGATACTGGATGTACTAAAAAAGAAGCAAAACAAACAATAACTTGAAATTAATTAAACTGCATTCAGTAAGGTCGTTTTCTTTTCAAATCAAGTCTTAGTACAATTAATGTTTATATTATTTTGTTCAGCTTCAAATGAATGCATTTTATCTGCACTAACATTACACGATTACGTCCTATTTCAATCAACACCAAATTGCTTTCTCATTTGAATTTAATTTTAATTGAAAAATTAATTGAGGTATTTATACTATACAACTTATTTCTGAACTAGATCATCTAGACGATGTAAAACCCTGTTATTTAATATTTTAAGGAAGACCTTGGTATATTCAGCTAAAATGCCAAAATGTTAAAACAAGAATATCGTTGGTAATGACGGCATATATATTTAATGCAAAAATCAATAGTAATTCATTTATTTGGTTAACTGAATTTAATCTTTATTGTATGGTGTGTAGAAAGTCACAAATTATCTTAAAGCTAATGCTATGATATTGTCAGAAGGATATGCGATATAAATGAAACTTCCGTGTCTTTCAATACATGTAGTTTTAAATGCAGTTGTTGTTTTAAATTTTAATAAACACTTATAAGATCAAATGGACCGCGTTCTTTTACTTTTTTGTTGTCAAATGCTATGACCATAATTTGTGTTAGATGTTTAAATATTTACAAACGTTATGAATGGATCAAAAAACAAGTATAATGAATACTCAATATATGTTACATGACATCACTAACTTCAGGAAAAGGCAATTACAGTGAAGCATACATGTACAATATTGTACAATTTCGTCGGAACAAACATACATTTTAAAACTTTGTCTACGTTAAAACATGCATGCATTCATGTATAATGAAACTATTGAAACTAATGAAACATTTTACACATGTTATGCAGCAGACATTTGCAACAATGACCCCAGCTTAACATTCCCTACAAGCCCCTTCCCCTCCCCCACCCCCCAAAAACATTCGAAGAACAGCGAAAAATTTGCCTTTGAGACCATTGAATCCCGTATAATATTCCTAAAAAAATTTAAATTCCGAAAACTCGCCTCTTCTTCTTATGTCTTTTTTGAGAAATGTTATCATGCTGACCCAAGAAAATCATTACTAAATATCCGTACAGATGCCAGTAAGTTACGGTTATCACCCGTCCAAAATACGGTGATCATTCGGCTCTTGTAATCAACCGTATTTTTGTCAACTGTACCGATCAGCACAAGAAGAACGAGTACGTAAATGTATTTCCCGGTCACTTATAAAGGAGGTCGGTGTTGCAAATAACCGGTGCATCTGTATCAAAATCACTTTAATATAAATACAGGAAATACATTTTGTGCATAACAACGTCAGTAACATTTTTACTTTCTATCAATATCGAAATAAGATATAATGCAAACTTATCTCCAATTAGATGATACAATATCTACATTGTCTTATTAAAGTTAAGCAGATTTTTCGTAAAATATTTAAAATTGCCTGAATTTTGAATGTATCATAGCGTTGTCAAAGAAAGGGGAAAATAGGGGTAGGTGTTTACATATACATATATATGTGCCCGTTGAATGACTTTCCGACCAAAGCAAAATATTTCTTATATACACAAGCATCCGTTTTTAAGACTAAATCCTATATGTCTGAAATTAGAATAATATATTGCTCATTATTGATTTCCCTTACTAATATTTCTTATATTTTATATTCATGATAAATCAACAGCATTTTCTCTGTTTTACTTCAATTTATATAATTTGCAGGATATATTGCTGTGCAGATACTTGACTCTATCTTATTTCCAGTTAATTTAATTACTTACATTGTACATATTTAATTTACAGGGACTTCCATTACACCCAGAGGACAATTATTTCAACATGTTTTTGTGCCCTCCCTAGTAATTGTGTGCGTAGTATAATAATATAAATGTTATTCTCTAATAGTTTCCCTACAGAGTATCTGTTTAGTCCATTGTTTTACATGCACATGTTCACTTTTATTAAAAATGAAAAATCAAGCTCATTTGTATATATGATAATTACATAACGCCAGAAATAGGTAACGTTATACATGCAAAATTTATTTAAAAATGTTAATTACAACCATTGTAAGTTATGTATGTTCTATAAGATTACTATGGTAACGAAGAGATATTTCTAAATCAATGAAACTAAATATCTTTGTCTGGAAATAAAATCTGCAATTAGATCAACTTTGCCAGAATTGCGCTAAAAATGGTTGCATTTTTCACATTCTTATAGATTTTTTAATAATTCGTTCTTCAAATCATAAAAAATATGAATGACCAGAAACCTAAAGAAATGAAAAAATAATATATACATTTGAACAAATAACGATAAATTGTGTATAATTATAAATGTATAAACATGTTATGTTTTTATTGATGATGTGACATTTTAATGCTTGCCATAATCTAATCAGTAATGTTTTAAATTTTAAAACGGGAAATACACAAATTGACAAAAAGTGAGCATTTTACTATTCATGTAAGCTAAAAGACAAATTTGATTTTTTAAATGATCAGACACTATGAGTTGATATAATTACATGGTCATTTCTTACCTAATGAATACATCTATTCTTCGTGGCTATTTTTTTATTTATTTTGAATAAAATCATCAATGATAAAAAGGTAAAAGCACATGAACCCTTACACCACTAAAACCGATCACAACAGCCTTTGCAAAGAGCATGATACCAGGCCATAAAACAAGTGTCATGTCGGGTACTTTATTTGACAGTCCTCCTTTTCTTATTTTGTTTCCAATTTCAATAAAATTGAACAAAATTTAAAATCAAGCAGACGACAGTTTAAGCAGACGACAGTTCTCCAATTTTCCAAACATACAAATGGTTAAAATGTCCGCAAATGGTGTTTGTCGTGCACTTTACAAACGTACGAAAAACTTGCACTATTCAAATGAAACGTTGAAGAAATCGATCTATGGTGAATTGTTAACACTGAAGCTAAACATGTAAAGAAGATTGTCCACATCCGTATTTACAATACTGGTTCATAAAGAACATTGAAAACAATGACAACTGCTTATTGCATGGAAAAAAGTTATGTTTCTGGATCTGAAATAAACAAAACAAACAGTGTGTTAATTGTCAGTAAAGTAATTACAGAGTAATTCAATATTTATTATATTATCTTCCATCAATGGTAAAATTTAATGAATGTTGTAATTGCATTAGGAAAATAAAAATCCAAGTTATAAAATGATGATAAAGTGTTAATGCAATCAATTCTAATTTAGACAGTATCATTGTTAACGAAATTCAAAACAAACAAGAACACGACATGCCAAGTCGGTAAATAATCGGTAAATAAATTTCCCTTTCTCTAGACAAAATAATTCTTTCTTTTATTTCCACTGATGAAGCATTTACTCGTTAGAAAGTTTGAAAATTAGTTTGAATATGGTGGCTGACTTGTTACATTTTCGCGAGTTGCGTTGTCGCTAGCGACAACTGAACAAATATCGTATCGCCTTTTCTTCTTGTCGCTCCGAAACGCGCCTAACAGCGGCGCGTTGTCATGTCGCCCTGTCGCTTGGGTTATAGAAGGGTTGGCTTCTTGTCGTGCTGTTACATGGTTCGTTGTTGCAAGCATCAAAGCGCCAATAAACCAATTCTTCCATTTGAGTCAAGCGACATCAAGTTTGGCATGTTTCGCTTGCGACAGGGCAAGATGACAAGGCGCTTACGCGCCGTTTGGCGCTTTATCGTGTTGTCGTTAGCGACAATTTAACGCTCATAATTGTAATAAATCAGCGCCACCATATTTGACACCTATCAAAGATAAAAATGTGATTTTATCATTGTTAAGAGAAGTGACGTATACTACTACAGTTGTACGAATTTGCGGTATTAGTACGTTATTATTATATTAATTTACAATGTTATGTTTCATTACTGTAACATGTGGGCCATTATTGTAAACTGTGAGCCATTACTGTAAAAGGTAAGCCATTATTGTAACATGTGAGTAATTACTGTAACATGTGAGCCATTATTGTAACATGTGAGCAATTACTGTAACATGTGAGCCATTACTACAACATGTGAGCCATTACTGTTACGTGTGAGACATTATTGTAACATGTGAGCCATTACTGTAACATGTGAGCCAATACTGCCAATACTGTAACATATGAGCCATTACTGTAACATGTGAGCCATTACTGTATCGTGTGAGCCATTATTGTAACATGTGAGCCATTACTGTAACATGTGAGCCATTACAGTAACATGTGAGCCATTATTATAACATGTAAGCCATTACTGTAACATGTAAGCCATTACAGCAACATGTGAGCCATTTCTGTAACATGTGAGTCATTATTGTAACATGTGAGCAATAACTGTAACATGTGTACCATAACTGTAACATGTGAGCCATAACTGTAACATTTGAGTCATTAATGTAGCATGTGAACTAATACTGAAATATGAGAGCCATAACTGTAACACGATAGCCATAACTGTAATGCGATAGCCATTACTGTAACATGTGAACCACAACTGTAACATATGAGCCATTCATGTAAACATGTGAGCCATTACAGTAACATGTGAGCAATAACTGTAACATGTGAGCCTCGTTTGTAAGATACAAGCCATTACTGTAACACGTAAGCCATTACTGTAATATGTGAGCAATCAATGTAAACACGTGAGCCATAACTGTAATATGCGAGTCTTTACTGTAATATGTGAGCCAATACTGTAAAATGTGAGCCAATAGTGTAATAGAAGAGCCAGTACTGTAATATGTGAGCCAATACTGTAATATGTGAGCCAATACTGTAATATGTGAGGCAATACTGTAATATGTGAGCCAATACTGTAATATGTGAGGCAATACTGTAATATGTGAGCCAATACTGTAATATGTGAGCCAATACTGTAATATGTGAGCCAATACTGTAATATGTGAGCCAATACTGTAATATGTGAGCAAATACTGTAATATGTGAACCAATACTGTAATATGTGAGCCAACACTGTAATATGTGAGCCAATACTGTAATATATGAGCCAATACTGTAACACGTGAGCCAATACAGTAATATGTGATCTAAAAATGTAACATTTGAGCCATTTCTGTAACATGTGAGCCATTACTGTAAGTCATTACTGTATCGTGTACAAACACATACAAAAGTTAATCCTTAATTTACTGGAGCTAAAAGTGCTTGCGACATCAAAGCAAGGTCAGATTGTACCTCCGTGCAGCCAGATCAGGCTCTATGCTGTAAGTATATTAATATTGAAAACCTTCACACTCATTGATTTGTTCCAAAGCTTAGTTAGGGTTAAACGTGTAACAAAAATGGCTAACGTTTAACAGTAATGACTTACGTGTTACAGTAATGAAAATAGTGAATTTATTTAGAACATATTCATCACAAAGCAATATTATAAATACATGAAGAATCTTTAACGTTTTCATGATTTGTAATATTACTGAATGCATTTAAATTGATATTCAAATTTGTGGTAATTTGATGGATTTAAATAAATGATAATAAGAATTTATTAAAATGTGATTTTTATTGTACCAATTGCCTAGCAGTGAAATCGAAAGGACGTCTATTCTAGGAATGAAATGAAAACAGGTGCTACATTTTAATATAAACTAAACCTGTTTTGAAAAAAACGAATCTAGTGTAAAAATGCAAACAAAATATTAGCTTGTAGCATGCTGGGACTATGATGTAATGTATATCTTACATTTTTATCATATTTTCGAAAATAAATGGATAAAAGTAAAAACAAATACACAAAGCGTCCATGTATTATTGTGGAAACGGTAAATATTATGTTCATGTTGGCAATAAATCACAAATTACAAATCTGTGAAATAGCATATCTAATTCTAACTCAAAACTAAGAAATTGACAAGCAATGCACGTGAATCACACAAACTAAAAAATCCAGGAAGCCTACGAGCTCTCACCTATACATATTATTGGTCAGGCTAGGAAGGCGATGACGTCATGATGACGTCGTCAAAATGTACATGTACTGGGTTGCATCCTTAAATATCAAAGAATAATGATGGCATCACGGAAAAGAAGGAAGGTAGTTGGTTTGTCTTAAATTTTGTCATTACAATACCTACATTGTCTTATAAACGTTTAAAAAGAATGTTATTAACATTATTTTTATATTTTTTGTCAAAACTGTTTCTATGTTCTTGAAAATGCAACAAACTCATTCACTTCTCTATTTGAAGCATGACTGAAACATCTATTCTATTTCTCGCATCAACCTTCGTTTCCATCGACACATAGCAACAATGTATGACCCTACAAAATGTATGTGCATAAAAAGGTCAAATAAAAGAGAATTCATTGACAAGGTTTTGCATTATGCACAGAAGTTCTAGATAAACGAGCGTTGCTAACAGTGTTATAAAGACATGTGTATAAATCAAAACTTGGATAAAACAATATACATACTCTCATGATGAGCAGTTTTGAGCAAAGGCGCGGTTGGTCCATGTTCATCCGACGGCGTCGTGACGGTTATTACTACGTTGCTAGGTACATCTAAACCTAAATGATTTCTGTCACCAGTACCTTTAATGTAAGTTATACCATTTCAAAAATAAGGAATGTGCGCCGCCGCTTAAGACGGTACTTCCAATAAAGCAATTACTAGAAGTTGACAAAAGCATACGTTGCAATACATTTGCAAACAGGAGTACATTGGATTGTGAAAGTAATGCATTTTTTACAATAATTCTTAGACGCATGCATTAATTAAAATCAGGATAATAATACTATGATATCAGACAAGCAAAAGAAACATCATAACTTAATAACTAAAAATGAAAAATATAATTGCTAAACATTTTCTCTGTGATATTCAAATGAACGCCCAAATACTTGTCATTCGAAAATGAGAACTCAAATTGAAGCAACTTAGCAAACGTATTGTATACATAACTTAGCAATCATAAATATATATACAATGTAGCAGTTCTTGATTTACATTTTGTATAAAACACACAAACCTAAAAAACATATGCAACATAAAAGCTTTTGTGTTTTTAACTTCGTGTGAAATCTGATTACTTTGTCACTTTACTTGATATATACGTAAAAGTAAATTATAAAGCAAAAAAAACGACCAATTAATCAATTTCTTTTGACCGTTCTCTAGAGGCAAAAGTTCTCACTGCAAGACGAAAGTGACAAAATAAGAATGATTTACACGAGCTTTGTGGTGATATATATATATAGCAAAATTATATATAAACAACCTTTCTGATGTTTTAGTGGTGTTCGATCGTGATGATCGTTTGATGCTCGGCGGCTAATGGATGGTGTCGGAGCAGCACTGGGATTTCTACTTCCGCCTAAGAAAAGCATGTTGACATCATAAACAAGTTCAAAAAGTAATAGTTCTATTTGAAAAAAGTAAATTATAGTTCTATTTGAAATAAATACATTTTGCTAATAATTAAAGCGGGATACAAATATGATTATGTTTTATACACATTAACATGAAGGAAGGAAGTTTATTATGTGTGTCAGCAATGTATATATATGATAAACAATCACAACATAATTGTCTGATTTGATATATCCCAAACAGACCGTGAATCTTAATCTGATTTGAAATAAATATATAAATAATTGTGCGAATAACAATTACGGCTCTTAGTTTCTATTTCGATTTTACTTTTTGCACGTTTTTATATTTTTTTTCAAAAGAAAGGCAACTTTTATCAATATTTATATTTGTGTAATGCCTTAACGCAGCCAACAATAGAAAGCAGAAATCCTAATAGTATTCTACAAAGTCTGAAAAGGAAAGGTCCCTTGAGCGAATTTAAACAATGTTAAACTGTAATAGTTGCAAGCAGATTGCCAATTCCAATTTCCACCAGTAATAAGTTTGGAATCAATAATCCCGAAAAAAACAAAAACAATGCAGAAACGGAATATGGCCAAGTTGAGGCCAACGGAATATGGTGTATATCAGTTATTTTGCATTTAACACCTGCTGTTGTAAATAATTTTTGGAATAGTTCAATTGTTAGTCAATCTACCACATTAATAACTACTCTAATACGTATTGACAAGCCTGACACTAGAACGTACCTTTAAAACTCCCCTGTCTACTTCTATTACTTCTGATGCTCCCCTGTCGACTAGCTTGTCGACTGCCATGTCTACTGCCTTGTCTACTTCCCTGTCGGCTTGTTTCCCTCAGGCCTGTAATGCTGTTAACCACAGTCATGTGATCTTGGTACGCCGGTTGCTCTAATCTGTTCACTAAAGTAAAATGAATATTTCGCTGTGTTATGCAGAGAAATGTTGATAAAGGCAAATACATTGTAAGAATATATTTATCCAACGAGTTCATTAATAGGGGCGTCCGTTGCCAAGTGTTTTAGGTCAATGACTTCAAACCACTTGCCCCTCACCGTTATGGGTTCAAATCCCGGTAGGGACTTTATATTCTTTCATGTGAGGAAGAAATCCAGCTAGCTTAATACGGAACGTCGGAGGTTCTACTCAGGTGCCCGTTCGTGCCTGAGGTCTTCCTTGGAACGTCGCCATATGACCAATACTGTGTCGGCGTGACGTAAAACCCAATCAATCAAACAAACTTCATTCATATGTTAAACATAATAAGCATTGGATTTATATTTAATATATTGATATTATTGTGTGTTTTGTACGCATACTATATGATGAAATGACAATATATATACGATTACATATTGCAAATTATGGAAAATATAGGATCTTTGTTTGTTTATTATTACATTCCCGGGTAATATATTTAAAGATTACATGCACGTTATGATACATGGTAATGATAAGTATGAAAGTAATCAAATTAGATGTTCAATCAACACAAAAAAGTATCGTTTTGAAATTCTTTATCATTAAACATGCAGTAATAAAAATCAGCTGATTTAAAGTTTTATCTCAGTGGTTAGATAAGTGAGACGTGCTGGTCGGATTTGATATGACAATTGAGGAAGGTTCTGAATGTTTTTGACAATATATCAAACCGTGCATGTGTATATTAGATATTACATTTTATTTCGATGGTTCCATGCTTTGGCCTCAAACATGTTTATAAGTTACTTGTACGACAAAAATTGCAGTACCGGTTTGATTGAGTTTATTTATAGTAATAGTAAATGTAAGTAAGCTACCGCACACGACCGCTTGCACCGGCTGAAGCAAAATTCAACATTTACTGAGTTATTTTTTTAAATAAATTTAGTTCTTTAAATCATTAAATCTATCAATTCTCAAATGTTTATCAATCGAAAAGTACTCAGCACTTATCACATGTTAAGTTAAGAAATAAACATGAAAGATCAACTATATCATCGGCAAAGACACCGTTAATTTAATAGTTTGAATGTACTACGTTCTGAAATATTTGCCATATTTACTAGAACTTATATTTATTCCAGGAATACCTCGATACAATCAATTTAAGTGGACGGGTATTTGTTTTCAATTTCTAAATGGTCACAAAACAAAATAAACGGAAAAAATAGACAAACAGGCTCTTTTCAGCTGCAATAACAAGCTGCTGAACATTTTGTCTTTACGTTTAAATGTCATGCAAAGTGGATTTTACATGTATATCGAAAACAAAGTTAAAGACAGATCAGTGTGGTCACCAGAGATTAAAAAACTTTTCATTACCATTTCTGTTTTTCACTGCAAATAAACAAACAAATAAAAATGAGTCCAGTTCACAGCAAGCTTCTTTTAGTGACACAAATTGCAAGTAAGATTCCTTCATTAAGATATTTTAGGAACAAACGTATTGTGTGCCACTTGTTATCATATGACATAAAGAATGGCAACGCCTGTAATTGGATAACCCATCAATAAAAATCTAGCAAGGCGTACGAGCATCACACCAAACTAACGATAAACCTGTCAGAACATCAGCTAATCAGCTAATAGATACTGACATGTATGGACGAATTGCTGGATTTAAGACGAGCTGTTCTCGTAGCATGCGATTCTTGGAAAGTAGGAACTTGATACTGAACATTTCTTTAACTAATGTTGGCAGTTGTTAAAATATTGGCAAGCAGTTTTACATGTAAGTCTTGTTAGTTCTTAATAATTAAAGATAAAAGTGATTGTGCAAGCGTCTGTGTTTGTTACATTGGAGCTTATCTAAGTAATGTAAACAATATTTGGCTGCTGAACACATTGTGCCTTTACAATTTCATTTCAAATGTTTTAAACCTTTGATTTTTTGTGGACCTGAAATCGTACATGGAAAGTGAAAAAATACTTGAAAATATGTACTATGTGAGAAAAAGCAGTAAAATGTGACTTAAGAAGTAAGCATAAAAATACAGGGTTAAAGTCAATGTTCAACTAAAATGCTTTGTCAGTTAACCATCCCAGAATGACAATGATTTTACACTGTTTGTTAAAATGGCCCCACTAGGAATAACTGCCGAGAGAACGTTTCAACAGGACCATAGTTAAATATGTTATATTACTTTTAACATTCCCAATATTTGAAAACAAACAAACAAACAAACAAATAAACACACACACAAACAAAAAAATTATCACATTTTAAATTACTTTAACTAACTGCATATATTTACAAAATATAGATATTTCTTACACTCCTTGCCAAACGATCTTCTAACCCACATCAGTTTGACCCCATCGTGTATCTCGTGTCTCCTCTGGCAACAACAGCAATACAGGAACATACAGAAAGTTATTGAGACAACACATCCAGCCGATATACCAATAGCTGTCCTGTTAGACGAATCAAAGATAACTAAATAAACAAACACGAATATACATTTAATGCTATCATTTACATTTCAACTGAAAAATCATTTTACCTTTTAAACTCATTTTACAATCTACGTATGAAATGTTAGTACACATATGTTATATTATACCAGAAAAAGAAAACGAAATCAAGAAATGAAAGCTAGAATAAAAATTGAAAATTTGCAACAATCGTTTTTTGCAAAATTACCGAACAGTTTTATCAATTTGCGTACCCCTTTTTGATATGAATTTGGATACTTTGTAATAACAAAGTTTGGTTACCAATTATCAAAATATCAATTTATAATAAATGTGAAATATAGAAATTGCTATTACTATATCTTTTTAGTGTGGTCAACGAATAATTAAATACAATGAGAGATCAATATGTGCATTTTTTACTTTGTTTATCCGAGCACAAATGAACTGTTCATACAAAAAGGATGTTTTTCCCTAGTACTAGTACCTTAATAAGAAATATGAATCAAGCTAGAAAAGTGTAGAAATAATTACATTTCTAGTTTTCAATATAGAATATACAAATGTCTTTTCAGCTGAATATTTAAAAGTACTAGCCGGAATTAATAAAAAGAAACCATTCGATCATGTTTTCTAATATATACAGTTTTTGCATAAACGCCTTCAAGGACACCTCGACTAATTGTTAATTGATTGACGCTTATATAGACCTAGAGGAGAATCTCGTAAATGTTCCAATAAAAACAGCAAATGGTCTTAAGAGAAAGAGGTTTAACATTAACTTGTATTGATCGAGCTTAACTTATTGTTATCTGTAAGTGGAATGAAGCTCTTATAGTGCAACAACAGTTGGAATATTGAGGAATGATATGTTTATCTACAGAAGTAATGCTACAGTTCGGGTTGTTGAATATGTTTATCTATTGGACAGTAAAACTAGATTATGGAAGCTAATATCTGAAAGAGATTCATGTAAGTGTTTAATGTACCATTGACTAATGTCTTGCAAAGTTTTTGACTGACGACAAAAGATAAAAAAATTCCAGCCACCTATCATACAAGCGAAATGAAATACCACCTTATGCAAATTAAAAACATAACCATTTTTTCAAAGAAAAAACTAACCAGTTAACACAAAAAGTAAATTTCAAAAAAGATCTTTTGTGTGCAATTTTAACAAACTGACAACTATAAGTATACATCGCAAAAACAAAAAATATTATTATCTATTAAACAACGTCGTATCTGTTTAGAAAGCTTACGTTTCGACTAGATAAAACCGTTTGTTCTTTGAATCTATTGTCTTTAGTTATACATTGACCGTCTCAATGACTGGTTATTAAAGCCATTGTGGTCTAGCATAAGTTCTACTTAAGATATGGATTTCGTGTTTAAATACCTACACTAAATCTATGTCTGCATCATTATTATACTTCTGTTTCTCTTTTCTTTTTTCTTCATTATATTTGGTTCTGTTGCAACAAACTTGAGCAGTCTTTTGTCCGCAGCAATATGTCAAATCTTCAGATTGGCTGTCATCCATTGGACAGATGAATTGTGGCAGGCGGTCTCCATTGCTGTCTTTTGTTTTGTTATTGAAGCAGATTGTCGGTTCTGACAATAAATACACAAGAAAAAAATAATACATTTTGTTATGTTCGAAGAATTTTTTTTATAAAGAGCACATGATAGTAGCAGCGCATGACACTAGCAAGCAAACTTAAGGTAGACATCTTTATACATAATCGTTTACTTACTTATGATACTGACTCTGTGGCCCTAAATGAACCTTTGAAATGAATAGACACATTGATGTTATATGTTATATGCTAGACCAAAGACAAATACAATATTTCAGCCATCACATAGATTTTCTTTGGCATCAATTGTTCCATGGTGTATCTACATATATTTCAACCACCAGGGACATGGTAAGCCGACACAAGGAACTGATAAATATTGCCCTTACAATCTTTCACTACCAGAATAAAAGAAGGCTTAAGAACAACATAAGTAAATATTGAATGCAATCTTGGTTTGGAAGAAACAATTCCATAACTAAGAGAAACATATATCTATTTCACTTAAACGTAGTGACATATGCTTGTAAGAAACCTTTATTACTGGTAAACCATTAAACGAAATAAATGAATTTAGAGTGAACAGAAAAGGCAAAATATTTTATTTCGACCTCAACTACATATATGTAATCATATCTTTTTCCCAAATCATTGTTGATTTTAAAACAGTTACTATACCCAAAACTGTCAGAACTGCGGTGAACAATATATTTCATGTAACCATTTAGATTCAATCAGATTTTTTTCAAGGAGATCTATAGCTGTTTCGACATATCATTAGGTGTTATTATCTTCACTTTTATGACAACATTGTCCTAAGGGTAGGCAACAATTGTTCACGAAGATAATGGCATTTTTGACAGACGGGTAGAAATGGAATTCATTTTCAATGACACATATATTACATAGTTGACATAAAACTATTCTCTGTAAGAAATATAAATGGAAAATATAGTTGTTCATTGTCAGAAATGGTAATATGGGAATCATTATAATTGTCAAGAAGCGCAAATTCTGTAATGTAGTCTAAAAATTGTATATTAAGATAAACTGTCAGGGTCGCAATGTATTTAACAATCTTATATATGACCACAAATTGTTTAAAGTATATATAAAGTATTGTTTTCAACTCAATTGTTTTGTTCATTTATTATACAAACCAAATGAATGTAAAATTTCTACATACTTGTATCTAATTAATTGAATACTCTGTGGAATTTATAAAATTAACTGAGGCTGAAATAATCAATAGGTATCCCGTATTTATTTCATAGATAAATAATTTAAAGGATTATTATACATTTTATTTAATTGTGCATATAAAAACTTGGGAAGGGAACATCCCTTGACAACCATGGAAAGAACATAAAGAACAATAAATAGAAAATAAAAAATAATGCGGTGTGTAAAATCAGTTTAAATGTTAAAATTAATTTTCCTGAAATATTTAACCATTACCCTAGAATAATGTTTCATAAAAGTTCACGAAGCATTGAAATCCACATCTCAATATCAATTTCTATTTTATGATACCATATATATAACAAACCACAACTATATGCTTTCTCGACAATTCGTTTCAATGGAACAAAGTATAAGAATGTATTGCTAGAAAATTGTCTAAATTGAGATCAAATGATTGAAAATTATACCTTTGGATAATGGTTGATAAAAGCATTGACATTTCAGACTGGATAGATAAAAAGCTTTTGATACAGTATCATTACACTCACTTATCTATCTTAAAAACAAATAAATACTGACTTAAGGACCTGACTTGTATAAAAATCTGGAAAAAATGTGATGCCTCTGTAGCATTAAATCACAACTAAATTACATGAACATTGCAGAGTTGGATTGATTAAGTCTGTACATGGGGGGTGATGCAAAATAGCAACATCCCCAACGTCCCTAGCACCAACTTGAGCGGTACTCAATTTCAACACTTAAAAATGCTGAAATTAATGATTCCGAAGGACCAGAAAAAATATAACAACACTGAAGTGAAGTAAATGGAAATTTTTACGGCTACTACATGACACTTGTTGCGAAGTATAGATTTTGTTTTTAAATGTAATCCTTCGGTTGCAAGATTACAACAAGATTACATGAAAATCTTTAAACTCCTAATTGCAATTGACTTTATTATTTTATTCATTAAAGTATCCTTAACTGATGAAAACCATGTAGCAATTGTTGACAAAAATTTGTTAAAACTTATCATAAGCTCAGGAAGATGCGATAATTTATAATAAACATGTAATAAATTTAAGAAACGAACATTTTACACAATACAAATCAGCATTTGGACAAAATATTATTGTTTTCGTTTTATTTAAATTAGATATTAAAAGACGGAAAAGCCGTCCTCCCAGATTAGACCTACTTGTAAAACAAATGCATTAAAACATCAAACGCGTCATATCATATTTACATACTTGTGTATTACAAGTGTATTGTATCATGTCATAGTTAGTTTTCTTTTATATATCATATAGTATGACAAGATAAAGATTAGCAACTTTGAGTTGGAAATTTTCTTCATCATTTGATGTTATACTGTTGTATTTTTTCTTCCACGTGCTGCTGTTTTGCTATTTTAGATTTTCTTAACGTTCTCGATGTTTCTACGTATAGGTATAATAAACAAGATTCTTATTCAGAAAATGACATTAATTATATATAAAAATGTAATAAAGATAATTATGTTTAGCTCATGTTACAAAAATATTACTTGTTTCTCTTTGACGAAACACTTTTTTGGTTGATTTGGTTGAACGACCTATTCGCTACTTATCAAACTTTATTAGATTAATTAAATAGGATAAAGTGTCATTTATATATCATATTACTATATTTTCTTACATGGAAAAAATAACACTAATGATTTCTTGCGGCCATTTTTTCATTTTCTTTTATATCATTTCGTGTCTTTGTAAGTCTTGTTTTTAACTAAGAAATATTATCTTCCTCTCTATCAAGTAAAGGGCTTGGTGATTTGGTATAATTATGTTAATCAGTGTATCGAACAATGACATTTACCTTTAGGGAGTTTCTATTTACTTTAGACATCGTGTTTGTTACATAACTTTGTCTGATATAAAGGATGCTTTGATTCACCGATCCTATATGTAGTCAATTGTAAATTCCCTAGCCATTTAAATACAACAGTATTCCCTTTCTCAATTTCAGAAGGCTTTTAATAAACAGACTCTTTTTGTGCCGATTGACATATATGTATGTATACAGTGTAACATTATATATATCATACGCTTTGAAAAGATGTGATTACTTTATTTCACATGTCAAGTCGATATATTTTCTTTGTTTTTTTTTAACTGCAGAATATGCACATTATGTCACACATGCTGCACTATTTCTGAATAGCAAAAATTATATTTTGTAACATCTTATGCCTATGTTTTAATCGTCGTGAATCCTAGATACTTTTGCCGTTTCCAAAATACATTTTCGACATCAGAGCAACATTTTGAATCATCGCATGTATCAAAGCTTTAACGAATGTATTTTTTATGTGTGCTTTATAAATTTGAATAGAGTGTAAATGCATCTTTTTGTTTTCTTGCTTGAACGTGTTAAGAAGCACAACCATGCAATTAAAGCCCGAGCGAACAGTGCGAGGTTCATGTACGAGTATTAAACAATGTGCATTAGTTATATTCTTGTATAAAAGTATACGTCTGATTCGATACTTTTCCATTACATTATACATGTATGTGTTTCGTATAAAAGAAAGCGGTTTTTACGTGAGAGTGAGATGTCATTTGACAATTACGTTTTAATAATTTACATTGCTCTCTGAATCATGCTTATAAAAGAAAACATGTAACAATGGCGTATGTTCGCGTGATTATATACGTTAATGCACGTCTTCTACACTCGGGTGTGCAGTTTTTATGCAAGTATTGTATGTTATGATTACATTAGTTACATTAGTAACCACGCAATTAATGTTCATTAACAAATGCCACGACATATGTAAAAAATAACTATCTTTCTCTGAGCAATATTGTTTGTTATTTTGGATTCATAAGGACAGAGAGAAGTCAAGATTATGTTTACCAAGGACCTCAACATCACTGATGATATATTACCGTTTACAATAATCAAATAAGCATGTTCGTTTTGTTTGTACTACCAATGTTGAATAAATAGAGTAAGACTATTGTATATTTATCAACTTCATGATTTTTTTTTACAAAATACTTGTTTAGTAAGAAGTTCTTTAATTGCGGAATGATTTCTTTTTGTAAATTCAATAATATATTTGAATATATTGTCAATACAGTGCATCTTTTGCAGTACGTTCCTTCGTAGAACAACCACCTGTTTACTTCAACAGTACAATGTCTTTCCCAAAAATAAGACTTCATTATAAATTGAACCCCTTTAAAGCAACATCTTTCAGTGGTTACAAACATTTTGGACTACCAAAGGTATTGCTCTACAGAGGTTGTGCTGTATATATATTGTACATTATATACATATTATATATTACAATGTGTACACTATGGCTTTTATTAACATTGGACAATGTATTGTGTCATGCTGACGTAAGTAATCACAAAGTCTGGTAATATCTTGTTGTTACTGGCACATGTTCTTGATAATCATCATAAGTGTAAAGTGTTAATATAACCATTGTTTGCTTCCTGTATGACGGTTAATCACCGTGTTAATAAGACAACAGTAATAATTTACAGATGTATTGCTAAATATCTCTATACTGAAACAGGCATTTGCTTCTTAGAAATTATGTCCTGTTACAATTTTTATCCTTTTAATTTTTGTTTCAATTTCTGAATTTTATTTTCCTATATGAAATCGCTCGAAGGTGTGTTGTTGCTGAAGGGGGATACCGGTTTGAATTTTGAAAACAACGGTATATAATGGTATAAATTATCTGTAAATATGACCATGCCGTGTCAAAGCAATATCACGCATGCGCAGATGGAATGTGTGGGCTGTTTATAAATGTCTCAATACAATATTGAACTGTAGTCTAGCAATAAACTGTGCTTTATTATAAATTTATAATTCAGATAACCTTATAGACTGATAAATGAGGTTAGAATAAAACCAAACCTTTGTGCAAATATATTATAATGTCATGACTCATATCATATATGGCAGACATTTAAAAAAATGCTTTTTTTCAAACGTCATTAATGTTCCATTTTTTAGCATTACTTCAAAATGAACGATGAAAGATAAACGTATATTCTGGAACTATTGTATATTATTGCCACGATGACATTTAACTATTTAGTGATGGCATGTTACTTTAGACAACATGTTGGTTATCTTGTTGTTTGAAGTAGCAGACGATATATATTGGAGCGATCCTGTATCTCGTTTGTTACGAATTCCCTTGATATATAATACAGTCATGTTTTATATATTTTAGACAATTCTTTGATGTTAGAAAGTCTGTTACAGATCGATCATATAAAAGTTAAGGTAATATGGTATACCAAGATGTATACATGTATTGCAAACGTTTTTATATTGGACCGATAAGCATTCATATTGACGTTAAAAAATTCTCGGTATCAAAAAAGCATTTTACAGTTATAAAGACAATAATTAAATATGCAGTGTACAAAATACGCATTGCGTGTATACAATGTACAAAAACGAACCCGAACTATGTATACGAATCGATAAAAAAAATGAAAATCTTAAATAGACCAAGTGGGGCACTAATAGTTTAAATGAACAAAATGTGTAAAGAATATTACAAAAATATACTCGTAGATAAATTTGAAATCGATATTAAGCGCAATTGTTAAAAGTCATTGTAGGACATTTTAAACTATATAAATAACTATTATAAAAGAAACAAAGGAAACAATGCATCTTAAATATGGCACACAAGTGATTGGACTAGACCTTCATCAAATTGTAGTAGTCTCTAAAACATGTTGACAGCCCGGCAGGTAAAACGAACCTAACCGGAGTGTCCCTTTGATCTATGACTTGCAAAGTTCTACTAGAAAGTATCACAATTAACTTTATGTTATTCTGTCTGGAAAGATCCGCTAGAATTTTAATGCATGACCCAGATCATTGTATTCTTATAATAACTATATTACATCTTTCCGATACAAATCGTTATGACAGGACTATACACATAGCTTATTCCAACATACGTAGGTAATTATTATTATTATTAGCAACAACAGTAAACATAACCACATTTCTCACAATGCATAGTGGTGTTTGTATAATATTAATTCACTTGTGGTAGTTAGTTCTTCATTAATTAAGATACTAAACTGTTTCTAATGACAACAAAAGATAAAAGACGCCTAACTGCCAGTGATGCAGGATGCAATTACTGGCCAGTGTCGTTCAAATGATTTAGATTGAAGCGTGTACAGTGTATTGATAGGACCCGATAGAATTGGGAAGTCACAATTTTCTGTAATTTCTCCGTCCTATTTCCTGAGCGTCAGGTGTTTGCTATTTGTGATTATTATTAATTATATCGATAAATCAAAGATATGGAATATTTAGACGTTTATTGAACAAAAAGTTACTGGTTTTTAAGTACAAAGAAAAGGGCCGGTTTCTTAGTAACTCGTAGTTACGACGTAGTAACTCGTGGCAACGACTAAGTAACTCGTGGCCACGACATAGTATCTCGTGGCCACGAGATAAATAAAATCACACACATGTCACCTTTGTGCCACCGTAATTTTCAGTTGTTGTCGGTTACTATAATGTTATAATTGTTTTTGTCATGGTATGGATATTTGTTTGTTGCCAACCGTTAACTTGTCCGGTCCCTTGAAATGCAAACAGCTGTCACCTTTTCATCTATGGTATCTTAGCTTGAATATGGGCGACACATTAATATCATGTACATTACGGGTCGCATGCTGTAACCCCATATCTTCATGAACAAAAAAAACAAAGGCTATTTAGCCAATTATTTCCATATTACTTCCAAAATGTCTCAACACATCGATATTTTCTATTATAATCTAATGAGTGTCAGACAGGAGGGAGCATTTGCTAGCACGCCATCGAGCTTTCTTTGTCTGAGGTACTATTTATGTTTTATAGCATGATATAATACGGTTTGGCTAATGTAACACATATACTAAAAACTTTATGAAAAGAAGTGTTGTAAAGTACATATATCAACGTCAAGAAGACATATACATATAGTGAGACCTTTCATCGGTAAAGCTGGGAAGTAACCATAAGGCCGTTACAATGATTATGTGACATACAATGCAATCAAACAAATAAACAAAACAACCATTACATGACTCCTATATCTTACAGTAACTGATAACAGTAGCTGAGGTAAAACAGAACAATAGTTTCCGACAAGATAGATAATGAATGTGCAATCATAATTAATACTTCATTAGGATATTAACGCCATTATTACCTCATAAATTATGAGGCTTTGGCATAATATCGCATCGCTTTATTTTACATGATATACTAGTGACAGAAAAACAGCATTGTTTCTAATATAGGCTTTATATGAGTTCAGGTGTAGGAAAAATAATATCACAAATTCCCAGAAATAAATAACTAACTTTTCTTTATAATAATTGGGTTCAATTTTTTTGAAAGCTAACATGACGTCGCTCACATGACGCCCAAATGGAGCTAACAAAACACTTACTTTTGTTCGGATTTTCTTGATAGGGTTTTCGTTGCTTGTAGGAGTCGAACCCGTAATATTTCGTCCATGCTGGCTCCTCTACCCCACCGCCTGCATCCGCTGTTGTACCTTCGGTATACGATAGTGTTGCATTACGTTTGTTTCGAGTTCTCTGATCGTTGTCCGAAAACCGTCTCAATCTGTTAACATTTAGCGAACTTGCACCTGTAAAATACAAAACAGGTCATTGTTATGTAACTTGTTTAATAGTTTTCCTGAGTTTAAACTAGAGTGTGTCCAGGGGTCTAATAGAAGACTTGCTCATTCAGGAACGGCGAGTTCGATTTCTCACTACTTCCAATAAAGTAACTAATACCTTTTTCGGATGAGACTTGTTAAATAGATAGATTAAATGTTCCTGGCTGTTGTAAATGCTTTGAAATGTCCGCATATTTTATTATTACTCAGTTGTACTAATTTCAAATGGTAAAGAGATTTATGAGCAACAACAAGACTGGCTGAACAATTTGTTTTGTCTAGATATCTTCATACGAAAGGAATGTTAATGTTCTAATAATATGAATAGGCCATACTCCCTCATGACTAGCAAAATATTGATTGTAACTAGTGGAGCTCAGCTTCGTTCTCATTATTACAACATACACAGGGAAAACCCCATGCATAATTGATACTTTACTGTTTGCCATGTCTGGCGTTACTGGGTAAAATTATAGGTAGTGACAATATTTGGTATTTATTGCTTATTCCATTGGGGAAATGTTTTTCTCAATGCTATGGAATGTTGCTCTCTTGTTATAAGTTAGTTAATGAGGTTACAGAATTCGTACATAACTTTTTATAACTTTCTCTATTAATGTACAAAAAATGAGGATTGAAGCGTTAAACATTGTAGTATGCATTATCACTGGTTTAGGGAATGTTTAAGCACCATACAGTTGCACAATTAACAGATACGTTAAAGTAATGTTGTTCGTGTTTTGTTGTTGTTGTTGTTGTTGTTGTTGTTGTTGTTACGCCAATTTTATCTTCTTCTTTTTTTGTTTAATAAAAGTCTTAATGCACCAAAGTCACAATAATCACTGAATATTACTACGGTTTAATCAGTATTCAGATGAAGCGATTTGATACAATAATGTATCAAACGATACGCAGGAGTAACATATACTTTGCAAAATATAATGCATTTAACAGTATGATATGTTATGGTACGGAAAGGAAGATCGTTGCTTGATGAACAAATACGAGTTTCATATGATATGACATGAATAATATATTATTACGTGCTATAACAAATTAGAATGATGAAGTTGATAATGACACGATCAAACGTTTTAAATTAATTCAACATTTATATTGCATTTATAAATGATTAACTGATTAATCGATCTGATATCGTGAATAAGTCAACTGACAATTGAAATCAAGAGATAAATGTCGAATTTTCAGCAGAGTTATCAACCGTGTACGAAAGACCGTTGGGACATTTCAATTTCATGAATTTCCGATTTCACAATTCTAACTGATGAATTCTCGTTTTAAACATACAGCATTAACGAATTCACGATTTCAAGTTTCAGCCGGGTTATCAACCGTGATATTTAATAATTCATATGAGTCTCTTTCATCAAATCTCGTTAAAGTCATTATTTATTTATAATTTTGCCTTAAGTAGGTTAATATACATGTATAATGTTCTAGTTTACATGTATATGTTACCATGTTGATAATCTACGCGGTACTGTTATCTGTCCACTACAGTTTGATACAAAGTTGAAGTGTGATCCAAAGAAAGTTAACATGCATTGTCATGTGTCATTTGTCAGCCGGAAAAAAAACATTATCTTGAAAAATCAATAAAACGCAAAAACTTATTAACACTATTTCCAAGGTAATAAACCTCAAGGTTACCACAGTCTTATATATGATTGCTGTGCCTAATTTAGTTTCATTCGATTAATAAAAATATGCATATTAATTTTGTTATATAAGGATTTATTTCTGTGTTTCTTCGAGACTGCAACCTTTTTTCTTTTCTTAGTATTGAACTTTTCTGAGATAGCAATCCCTCATTGCGGTAAGAAACCATTCATTAGAAGCCTTAACAGTGCCAGCTGAGCCTTCTTAAATATGAGATAAATAAGATTTAAAAAACGGTTATTGTTATGAGAAACATCTGGGCTATCATATTATACAATTTTTCAAAAAAGATATATCATCATTATAACAAAAAATAAAGATTGCGAGCAAGGCAATATGACAGACTTCAGACTTCAAGGTAGCGCAAAAACTTTGTCGTCGCCACATATATCCTCTATACTCATTTATTTTTTACATAATGACAACATGAAGCCTCAAAACTGATTACGATTGTTTGTCTAAGAAAAAGGAAAGCCTATGGTGTTTGATTTATGCCATGGCGTATCTTCGTTACGCGACCCCGGGCGAGAACACGAAAATACAGCAAAGTTCACATTTTGTAGTACTTTCGCTCCACGGAGCACAAGGCGAAAACACGATAATACGACAAAGTCGTCACCGCACAGAGCGAAAATACGACATGGAACAAATCAGCCACCGTACAAACCAGTGTTTTAAGACCATTTATTAATGGTAACAGTATGTTATATCATTAAATCATTAATATAGCAGGCATGTTATTTGTCATTAAAGTGGCAATACATAAACAATGTGGTTTAAAATATTGAAACCCTAGAACAAGAAACAACAAACACAGGTTCAGTTATACGGCCAATACTCTACAGTTTCGAAAATAATAGCAAAACACCGAAAAATTAGAAAATATTTTTTAAAGAAATCAGTACTGTCAAGTAAAAATATTGCATTGCCAAAATGCGCAAAATAATATCAAGATATGATAACAATAATCAACAAGACCTGTCCGTGGACAGCGCACTTCACTTTTATCAGTGCTGGAAAGTTCAACAAAATCAACATAGAAAAACGGGAATAATTATGCAAATGTTCTTAGCAGAGATACATTCACAGTAAGTAAAATTGCTTTTAATGCAAGTGTAAAACGTGATTTAGAAATTTGTACTGTTACTGTACTTTTTAAAATCCGGTCACGTGGCGTATTTTCTAAATAAAATAAAATAAAATGGCCGCCATTTTTTTTCCGATTCATTCTTATTTTCGAAGTTCACTACGATAGGGCATTACCAAAGTAACTATGACACCCATAAAATTTAGTTGTATACAATATCTTTTTGTTGAATAGTCAAAAAGTAAACATCCGTTTTCATCGGAAGTAATTGCAAAGTGAATAATTACATGTATGTGTCAAACTGGAACATGCAAATGATGAAAACATGCAACAAAGGATTATTTAACAAATTTATTTTCTAAATAAAACACAGCTTATTGTATGTTAATGTCTGGTAGATATCATCATTTGCTTAAAGAATAAAAGAAAAATAAATTCTCAAGTAGGCCTTCAGTACACTTACAACTTGCAAAATAAGGACAGTTTAGTTATTGTTACCCTTGGTTTATTTTTGTTACAGTTAGATTTAGTTGAAAATTTCAGATCATCACAGTATTGTTCGGGGTAGTAAAATAAATAACACATGGGTTTATTGAGTTACAGTAAAAATATCATCTCTCGTAAAATACTGTTACCATCGGCTAAAGTCCGGGTAACAGTATTTTCCTCGGGATGATATTTTTACTGTTATCCACAAACCCACGTGTTATTTTTATGCTTTCATTTTTCTATTTCATTATCATCAACTAAAGATGCCTTTAAAACGAAAAAATATCTAGTCTCAAGAAATCGATGCTATATCTCAAAAATATTGTTTATCCATATTTCATATATTTATTTTGCGTGTGAAAAACATATACCATTATGAAAATATCCATAGTGCTTATCTGTATAACGCAGATAGAGAAAAATGGAATCTCTAGAGAACGCCCAAAAACGGTAACATTAAAAATGTTGCAGGCACTGTTTCAGTGAATTTGTTTTTAAACGGAACTAGAAAAATGCAAGCTTCCATGCACGCTCCCTAGCACCGTTTAGCAGAATTCAACGTTTAACATAAAATGAGGAAAAATAATTTAGAAACATCTACAGAAAATTGCTTCTATACAATAAAACATGGAGCATTGAATGTAGATTTTACAATTATAGATATAGATTTACACACATCAATACAAACTATTTTACAATGTTGCGTAATTAGATAAAACTTCAAGTATAGATTTCCATGTCCTCGAAAACAAAACAAAATCATATTTGCGCCATTTCATTCATTTGTAATTTGATTAACGTGCTCAATAGATCATTTTACAATTTACACAGCCCTGTGACATGCTTGGTTTTAATGTTCCTTCAAATAACAACATAATTATAAATATCTGAGGCAAAAACAGAACCATGAGGGCTGCGCTAACAATAACAACAACAACCAATACTGAGACATAAGGACTACGCGTCAGCCAAAAGAGCAACTTTTTGGTAAGAAGAACATATTCGTTCATGACGGATACTATGTCCATCAAGAAGTACAAACAATTGCTACTTTCATTGTGAATCATCTAAAATTCGATATCAACATTATTATAGATAAAATTTTGTCATGTTCATATTTTATTGATTGTATATTTGATACACTATACGTGCACATGATTTTGCTAAAGAGAAAATTGTATAATAGTGATACGTCATTATTTACAATAAATTTGAAGACGTTGTGACTCATGTTGCCTTTATTTACCAATTATCATGTACATATACAGTCGACTCTCGTTATTTCGAAGTCATCGGGACCGTCAAAAAAATATCGAGATAACGAAATGTCGAGATAAACATATTAGGGTTTGATTAAGGCAGAAACTGATTTTTACAAAAGACATGTGCATACCTTATGTCAAATAAACTATGATATCCCCATGTCTTGTTTTCATACGCCTAGTCAATATTGAACAAAGAACCAGCGGAAATATGGGTGTCTGTGATAAAAACACATAGTGAGGTTTACTCAGTTATACACCAATATAGTGAAAACATTGTTTTCAGGGTGGTTGATCCGGATATGCTCCCGGGTTATTTATCGGGTATTTCCCGAGATTTTTCGACCGCTTATTGATTTGGTGGTGATGTTGTGAAACAATATTGCAACGATAGCGTTTCTATACTTTCACTGTTTCATTTACATTTAAAGTCATAACGAATTGATGCA